TTGAAATAATTCATCATTATGATGTACTTACACAACTATGGTGGCCGAGGGCTGCCAATACAAAAAAGACCTTTTCTTTATATTTTATTGCGCTTTTTTCACCATATCATTTTATTTTTCATACATTATATATCTTACTTTCGCTTTTATTTGCCATTCCACTTTACTTTTTATTTCATTTCGTTGTCTTATTTAATTTTAATTTTAATTTTGTTTTCGTTTAAGTTTTCTTTTTCATTTCCCCTTTATTTGTCATTTCAATTTGCTTTTTATTTCGCTCTATGTTTAATTTTTAATTTCATTTCAATCGTATCTTTATTTTCATTTCAATTTTATATATAAACCCAATTCGATTTTTTTTTTTATTTCATTTTTACTTTAAAAAGAACTTAAAAGACAAATGAAATCGTTTTTCAAAATAAAAAGAAGCTGAAAATGAAAATCAAAACTAAACTCAAAACCATATTTTAGCGGCCGATGGCTGCCACAGTATCCCAGCATTCATTGCAGCCCATGCTCTACAAACAGAGGGAGTCTGGAATCTACTGCGAGGGGTTTTCAAAATGGCGGATGGTGGTTTGCGTAACGACACTTGGAAAGAAGATTCTAGTCTCCCTGAAGATTTGAAAAAATACGTCCAGCAGCTTCTAACACGAAACGAAATTTTGAGTTTTATGATAAGAGATTATCCAAGTTATTCGTGGAGTAAGCGAACCCTTGACCGACGGCTCCGATACTTTGGGATTTACTACAGTGACGGTGAAATCTCTGTTGATGAAGTAAAAAGTGCCGTGCAGAAGGAGCTCAATGGCCCAGGAAGGCTTCTAGGATACCGTAGTATGCAAAAAAAGATTAGGATAGAGCATGATCTAAACGCACCCAGAGATTTGGTGCATGCAGTGATGCAAGATTTAGACCCAGACGGTCTTAAAGCACGATCCCTCGGAATGAAAACAAAGAAAAAGAAAGGTCAGTTTACTTCTAAAGGAGCGAATTTTGTACATTCAGTCGACGGACATGATAAACTCATGGGTTTTCAGAATAGCACTTATCCCCTAGCTGTGTATGGATGCATCGACACATCAAGTAGGAAACTTCTTTGGATAAAAGTATGGGTTACAAACTCAAACCCTAATATAGTTGGCCGCTGGTATCTTGAATATCTCTATGAGACCAGAATGATAGCTGCATTCCTCCGTATGGATAAAGGAACCGAGACAGGCGTAATGGCAACCATGCATTCCTTTTTGAGAAATCATCACGGAGATCTGGATGATGCAAGTGACAGTGTTATTTATGGGCCATCTACTTCCAACCAGGTATGCTATTGGTTTTGGTAACCGCTTGAAATTTAATTTCCGAAATATATACAGTTTTTGACTATATCTTCCCCAATTCAAGTAGCTTTGAAGAAATAAGTTCGAGAAATAAAAAGGGCATAAAAACATTTATAGTAAAAGTACTTAACTTGAAGTCAGATTTTAATCCTTGCCATGGTGAAACAACAGAGAAAAAATTACTGCAGGGTATAATTACTAATTGCTGTTGCTAAATGACTGATTTCAATATGTCTACACATTCAATCACTGTACATACAAATTAAAAGAAGCTCACTTTCAGGCTCATTTCTTTGGTATTATCTATTTTTAGTTCATTGAGCTTTTTGAGTTTCATTAATTTTTTTCTTAAATTTATTTAAGATTGAGCGATGGTGGAAGGAGTTGCATGAGCGATTGGAAAAATATTTCAAAGAACACCTTAGATATCTGAAGGAGCACAGATATTATGACCCTAACAATGAGCAAGACAGGTTTGGAACTATTGTATATTTGGTGTATTTGCTGCCTATTGGATTGTCATGAGCATTTTGCCAATAAAAATACAATTCTGTTAAGTGCAAGAGCATAGGATTGATACAGTAAAAACCTGAAAATAACCAACTGCATTACATTATATTCAAAATTATGCTATACTGTCAATTTTTGCCACTAGTTACTCATGTACTGGTTTGTATTGACAGAATGCTCCTTGCCTACATAATGATTCCTTTGTTACAAAGGGAAGTAAACATCTTCAAGGATTCTGTCTGGAACAGTCACCGTATCAGACCCCAGAAAGAGACTGCTTTGCCAGCTGGGATACCAAACCATATTTACAGCTTCCCTGAAGAGTATGGGATGGATCGATGTGGTAATGTTTACATTCTTTAATAAATATGCATTTGATGTATTACTGAGATGCAAAATAAAATTTTTAGTCTTAGAGTTTTATGAATTTTAATCTTTTTGCATCATTAGTAAGCCATAACCATTGTTTATACAATTTAAATAGAATAAATAAGTTTATTGATTTACTGTGAATTTAAGTGTCCTAGTTATTTTGTGCCAATTTTATTCCTATGTATAGGTTTGCCTGTTACTGTTGAGCAACTACAGAAAGTGGCTGAATGTTCTGGAGTACTTGAAGTTGAGGATGACTTCCTTGAACCTGCATTCCGATTGAAATGCCAGCAACTAATCCCTGATGTTGAAGAAATTGAAGCAAAGGATTGCAGAAAGGCATACCTTTACCTAAAAGGAAATTTTCCTGTTCAGATTTAATTAATAGAAAATTGAGGCAGTGGAACCAAACATGCACAGTCCTTTTTTTTCTCAATCAATTCCCAAAGCAACATTATATCAGGAATATACTTATGAACAATGGTATGTACTGTGTTTGCCCATTTACTTTTATAGTATCTGACCAAAATTCAGTTTATCACTGCAAAGATATATATCTCAAAATAAGATGTGAACCATTAGATAATGAAAAATAGGTGGTGGTTTTGATTGGGAGATCAAAAGTTAAAATAACTGGCTAAAGGTGGCTACCTATAGCATTGTTCTGACCATACCTTTCATTTGGCTTGTTGTTGTTGGGGAGGGGTGGGGGACTAGTACTAAGTATTGATGGTGTAGTAAATTAGCACTTTATAATGTCTAAACCTACAATAGGGAGTATGCTACTATAATTTGAAGGAATATTTTTTCATAGTACCAGGGTACTCTAGTGCATACTATGTTTACTACTATACTCCAAGCAGTAGATCAGGCTTTATACCAAAAAGATGGAGTTTTTGGACTAGCAACCATAATTATTCTTGAAAATCAAATTGTGAATCTTCCCCTGGGTTAACCTTATTATGGGGACATAGCGGCCATTCACCAGACCCTGTTGTTGTGTTGCAAAACAATAATATAAGTCTATGACAATGGCTGTAAAAGTTGTATAATATTTTCAGTAATACAATATTATGAGTAATATATCTTCAATAGAAAACATTTTTCTTGATTATTCTAACAATAACAACAATGTATGCGAACAATGTCAACTGCATAAACAGCAAAACCCAGCACAAGAGAATCAGGATCATGAACCACTAGCTTTTAGAAAATAAAATAATAATATAAAGCTTTAGCTGGTTTGGCTTTTGGATGGTTGTTTCAACCCTAGAAAATCACAGTAATCATTGCACTTCACATGGCTATTTAAAAAATTATTGATGGCTTGTTTTGAGAGATTTCCAGCTGTGAATAGCACCTCTCCATCCTTCACCAATGTAGTACTGGCGATTTCAGGATCGTAAAGGTTGTAGCCACTTCCTTGCATATCGACAACAATGAGCTCGCGTGAAGACCTCTCGTAAGAAAAATGAGCTAGACTTTCACACTTCTGCCTAATAACTGTGTTGTCCCCACAGAGTTCACCATCATTGTTTATGTACTTCGTAAATTCACCCTCTATGTAGTCTTCCACTGTAACCCACTGGCAATCTCCCAGTTCACTGGTTAGCCTTCCCATATAGATCTTGTTGTACATTAGAGTTTGGCCATACAGATCTAGAATGGATTCCTTGTTGAGTTCTTGTTTTAGCTTCAGGCACATATTCTGGGCAAGCATGTGCATTTGCACAACCTTCCTGGTTTGCTGCTCGACATCTTGTTTCAGTTGCTTGATCGTATCTATAGTTTGCTTAAGATACTTCTTCACCACCCAGGGTTTACCCTCAAATCCTGGTGTTTTTGACGTAGCTTTAAAAGCCATTCGAAAAGCTCCTGTGCCAAGGGGATTCTTGTCAATGGCAAATTCCACAGAAACTGGCTTGTTACACCATTTCATATCCGTGAGGTTAAAGGTGTCTAGTTCAATTAGTTCGTACTTATCATCTATCACTTTCCCAAGCTTTAACATGTCAAGCACCGATAGACTCTTTGGATATCGCGTAACTTGGCTTGAGCCTTGTTCTTGAGACCCCACGACTTTCACTCGTTTAGCTACAGGTGAAACTGGTAAGGTTTTTTTTGTGTGTTTTTTATCTTTTCGTTTTTTTGTAAGCTTTTCTCCCGCAAGTGAAGCTTCTATGAATCGCACGTGGATGACCTTGGTTGGATGCGGCAATTGATCTATTGAAGTGCAAGAAGGTCCTTGTTCGCCCGCAACAACGTCGCATTCCATCGCCTCCATTTCTTCTTCCATCACGCTTCCAAAATGCTGTAAGCATGCTTCTTTGACGTTTTCAAGGGTCAACTCTTCGAATTCATACGGGACGAATTCGCGGGGTCCCATCCGCGAATACTTCTGTGCTGCCCCTGAAACTTCGGCACTTAAGCGTTGTACCGTTAATCTCTCGTTTTTTACGACGTCTTTTCCACGGTTCCCTGTTCTTTTTTCCTTCATGGAAGACTCGAACTTCTTCCAAGCAGCCTTATTAGACATCCTGAATATAGTCAACAACGCCAAAAATGAGCATCAAGTGTCCAGGCTATGATGTCCAAGCGTCCCACTCACTTTAAAGGCCGCGCGCTTCAATGAATCTTGGGATACCCACAGGAAACCCAAACTTATTATTTTTATTGATTTACATATGAGACAATAAACATAACATTAAATCTAACTTTAGCATCAAATTGTAATAAAATCCACTTAAATGTCCAGGTTTGACGCTTTTTATTATACTATGGCTAAGTTTGAGCCCAACGTTGGGAGCGTTTCCACTAGGACATTTTTGGTAGTTTAAAATTCCTCCAAGTGTTTAAGGGTGCGTTTCCACTAGGACATTTTAAACTAGTTTAACGAAAAAATACCGGAAACACCAGTGGAAACGGCTCTGAACTAACTTAAGCTAGATTAATTAGTCAACTGTTTACACGTAAGAAAATGCCGAGTTTAGTTGCTTCAACTCCGGAAATGACACCTTTGATAAGCGACCTAAAAAGATGGCTTAAGTTGGACTACCGCCGGCCGTGACCAATCAGAGCTCACCATTTGACAGTTTGCTGTCAAAATGTTTATCTAGACTAACTTGAAAAGCACCAGAGAGAAGAACGTGGGCTCTGTATCTTGGTCTATCCTAACTATCTGTGTGCTATTGTGGGTACAAGAATCGAGCAAATGGTAAAAGTAGTGTTGTAAACACAAGCGCTTCTTCTCCCGCCATTTTTTTAAAATCTCGCGCTCAAGAAAATAAGTTTTTTTTTTTTTTTCCGGTCCGGTATCCTAAAAAATCGTGCGTTCTGATTGGCTGTTTGAGCGGGCGGTATTTTGTAAGTATCTGCCCGCGCGCGCGGTCCGGTATCCTTTGCCGCTAAACGACAACACAAAACGATTACTAAAACAAGTAAAAAAATACGGGAAAAAAATAAATATGTTATTTACCGGCCAGGAGGTCCGGATAGGGAAAAACTGTGCCCTCGGTCTTGAACACGGACCTCGGCCTAACGGCCTCGGTCCGTATATTCAAGACCTCGGGCACAGTTTTTCCCTATCCGGACCTCCTGGCCGGTAAATAACATATATGTCTTTTAGTTTTTATGTAATTAACAAATCGCAGTATTAGGAAAGGTTCATTTAACATGACAAGGGTGATATGAAGATTTCTAACTTTGAAATCATGAAACTTTCAAAGCCCCAGCTTACTTGGTTTAAGTTCCCACAACTAGACATGATCTTGGTAATAGTAAATCGACTTACGAATATTAAAACTCACGAATACAGCTCTCTTCTCTAGCTATCTATAGCTTCGAAAGACTCGTTTTACTTATGCGTACGGGAATACAATAATAGCGCACATTTCCGGTCAGTTTAATGCATGCTTTGCATCAAGAACTGTCAAATGACGGAGTAATCAGATGAGAAGTCTTTACAAAATATTCGTTTGGTTTTTTATTTTTAATTCTTGTTTTAGGATAATGGAAATATAAACTTAATGTAGATTTAGGCACTGCTTAAAAGCGGAGCTCCAAAGAAATAGTATAATAGTGTTGAATCGTGTCAAGCGTGGCGTTACAAAATCGGTCGTGTTTGTCAGAGCCTAAGCATTAAACCGGAAATGACCTTTGGGGCTCAAATGCAACTTTGCCGCGAATGGCTTTTATTTTCAATAGTTAGAAATTCTCCTCCATATTAGAAATTGTAATTCGGTCTACCCTGTACTTGGTACTTGGTACCCTCGACG